ATCAAATATTTTTAACCAGCTGCTCCAAATTGGGTTGAATTCAGGGGAACTTGGTGACATTTTTCAGACCGAGTACAGACACTGGATGTAAGTTCTACTGGGCTATAGGAAATACTGTATGCCCTAATCCCTATCCACAGGGGTAATAAATACTAATACTACCAGTAGCAAATACAGTATTATTGCAGTAATACAAGCAACACTTCTTTTGCTCTAAATGTGCGTCTAAAGTTTCCTACCATAAAAATAATACCAAAGCAGTTGTTCCAGATCAGACTCTCTTTACTTTTCCTATCTGTAAGAGGTAACCTCGCTGGAGAATTTTACTTTTACATTCAGTCCATAATGCAACTGCAGCTTTTGGAAAACTGCAGCTGCTGCTGCTGCTCTTGAAAAAAAAGAAACCATCCATTTTATTGTCCAGCTATTTATTATTTAAATAAATGAACTGTAGTTTGATCCTGGTGGAATAGAAATCTCTTGCGTACATGATGGATTGAGTTGCTTAAAGAGACTGTCCTCAATTTTAGGCCTTTTGATAAGTGTGGAAAAGATAGGAGAAGAACTGATAAAACTGCTCAGCCAGCAATGTCAAGAAGCAACTTGCTTGGGCAAAAGAATTAACCTTGTTTTTCAAATAAATGTTGTGCTTGTGTGTCACCCAGCAAACAGCTCTTGGCCCTTTTTGTTCAGTGCCTGGAGAGTAAATCAACCTTCAGCCAGGGCTTGCATACTTGGATGATGCCAAATCATCTGTACTAACCAAGCACGCTGCTGACAGAGGGTGCAGATCAGAGCAGGAGGGACCGAGTCCTGTTTGTGTTTGTTATGGGTTTACAAGGAAGCAGAAGATGCCAGCCTTTCTGTCAACATGCAGTCGCAACACCTGGGAAAACAGACCTCTTCCTGGTCCTGCCCTGGCCCAGCCCAGGTTCTGACCCATGGCTGAGTCACTTATCCACCCCACTTTACCACCTCTTAACCCTTCCCAGAATTTAGAGGGTTGTTTTTGAGGCTGGCTGTTGGTGTCCTGGATGGCAAGTGCGGTGTCGTGCTATTGCAAGTGCTGTGCCAGCCACTCATCAAGCAGCAGCGAGTTCCACCGGTTAGTGCTGCACCATGCCCACAGGGGCTTCCTACCCTGCTCTTTACTGTGTCTAGCCCAGTCATGACCTCTCCCAGTTGCACCTTCTCCTAACTACCTAACCCCCCCCCACCACTGCATGCAGAAACCCCATATTTATCCACAGAGAGCATATATCTCCAGATACGTTCCTGCCCGTGGCAGGGGGGTGCCATACTATTATTCTATAATATATCCAGGGGAAAATCACTCAGCAACTGACTGTGGACTCCTTCCCTAATATGTACAGAGAGGAAACTGAGAGAAGGAATCTTCTTCTCAGCCTGTAGGGTCCAGATACCAGGTCTCAACCACCAAAGCAAGAGAAAGTCCACTCTTGGCTCCAGTAAGAAACTCCCTATTTCTGTGCTCTGACAGGTAGAGGATACTGCCACGGGTGACAAATACCAAGAAACTCCCTAATGCTGTGCTCTGATAGGTAGAGGATACTGCCACGGGTGACAAATACACACACAGAATCACACAGAATGTTAGGAGTTGGAAGGGACCTCAAAAGATCATCCAGACCAACCGTCCTGCCAGAGAAGGACCACCTAGGTCACACAATACGCTATAACACAGGTAAACTGGAGCCCCTATTCTTGCTAAAGGCTTTTGAAACCCCTCTTATTTTTAGGGCTGAATGTGTTTGACCTCCTCAGCAGCTGGAAGAGGCTGTGTCTCACCCAACATCCTTGAGGGCTCCTCTGGGTCTGGAGCTGGCTAACATGTTTTGACCATTCTGCAGAGCTAAGCTCCAAGTATCCAGACAGGGCCAGTGTAGCCAAATTGCTTGAGAAAGGCCACTGGTTGTGAACATGCCTGACTAACTGGGAATTGTTTCAGAAAGTGGACACAGAGCAGTAGTGTGTCAAGGATCTTCCTACAGAGCAAGAAGATGAGCCTCTGAACTGGAGAGCTCATGGAGCTGGTCATCCATGCAGATAACAACCTGGATGGGAGATGTACAGCTGGATGAGCCCCCTTTTCAGTGACTAAGACTTCAAAGGTTTGCAAAAGCCAGAATAAATTACCCCAGATGTCCCTATCTTCCCTCCATCAATAACCAGACTCACCTCATATGAGGAAGGTGGCTTATTCTCAATTTTCCTTTGGGAAAGCCCCTTCTCTGCTTCCTACAATTAGTACCATGAACCTCATATGAGGAAGGTGGCTTATTCTCAGTTTTCCTTTGGGAAAGGCCCTTCTCTGCTTCCTACAATTAGTACCATGATAATGACTTGTGTCCCAAGGATTTACGTACTTTTCTCTTTCACAGTAGCAGACAGTGTCATTATCTTCTGGCATCCCATTGACTTAATCCAAAATTTGATGCTGGCCCTTGTCCCATGGCCTAGGTCCCCAAGGTGACTCATACCCACCACATAAATGTTTCTTTCTTATTTCAGCCCGTGACTCTGCACATTCTTTGCAGCTCCAATAGTTTTTAGGGTATGAGGGAGGAAAATACAGTTCTTGGCCAATCTCTCTCCCCTTTTAGTGCTCCACCCACTACTATCCTGACTTCACAGGTCCTTAACTTCATGGGTCCAGCCTATCTTGTCAATCCCGATCAGAGCACTTCCAGGCCCATCTGTATACCCTGCTGACACCAGCCTTGTCTTTCTTTCGTTGCACATTAGGAGGAGGTACATGTGACACAGCGGCCTTCTTCAGAATGTTTTCTACCTTTTTTTTTCCCCAGATCTTTTCACATATGTGTTGATTGGAGGTCTGATTTGAGCTCCTTTCAGGCAGCTTTGCATGGTACTTTCTCTGCTGTCCTTGCCAAGCACTGCACAGGATCTCCCAATGCAAGGTGAGAATGCTCGAGTTTATATCCATAAAGTAAACTATCTGGAGAAGGCAAACTATAATTTAGAATCTATAACTATATAGAGAGGCTATAACTGTATAGGAGAGATGTTAAAACTATATAGTCTGCCTTGCACACAGACACCTCATTGGTAACGGCAACAGAGAGGGCTTGAAGTGGTTTTCCACGTATTTGAAGCTTGCATGATTGCCACAGTCATTACACCAGTAATGGGAAAAACATGATGATTATTTCAGTGCCAGAGGTTGCACTAAGCAGCTCCATTGTAAGGTATGAACCAAATCTTCTACATCTGATGAGTGGAGAAAGCCACTCTGGCTTCAGCAGGTTATCCCAGGAAGGGGGAAAGATCAGTGGGTGAAGAAGGGAATTTCCTATTTAAGGAAGGGAATAAAGGACTCTGTGGGTATCCCCATGACCTCAACAAATCTTCAGGAAACACCAGTCTCATCCTACTCATCTGCCCTGCTAGCTCTGTCCTGAGAGCACCTAAGGAGGAGTCAAACTTATGCCTTTCCCTAACTCCCCTGCTCATTTTCCTTCATCTTTTCCC